ATATTTAGATTTCTGCATTAGTTGATCTACAGTTTTTGCTTTTTCTCATTGTCTTAGTCTGTATTTCAAGGGGTTTTTGAAAGTTAATTTTTTTTCCTCATTGAGTTTATTGGTGCTTTTTAAGAATACAGTACAGTTATATTTATCATTGGGATCTTGTACCTTTACGACAGATCTTGTTCTCATTTTTTCCCCATATCCTTGACCTTCCTTAACCCCCTCCACCAGTCCCTATTTACAAAGACTTTGGTTACATTTTTTCCTTTTCTCATATTTTTTCTTTCCCTTGTTTCCTTTCCCGTACTCTTCCCACTTCCCCTACACCTTTAGCCCTTTTCTTCCTATTTCACGTTGTCAATTATACCATAAGGATCTTATTTACACTTTTACTTTTTCACACCAGAGAAACTATTCAGTATTTACACATGTGTGTCTTATTTATTTCACTTAAGATTAAGGCCTCAAAATGCATCCATTTTCCTATGAATGACTCTAGTATGTCATTCTTTTTTTTCTGTATCTTCCAATCTATTCCATGGATCCTTGGGTCTTTTTCTTTGCTAGTACCACAATTTTTTTTTTAATCATAGTGGCTTTGCAGTATAGTTTCAAGTTGGGGATTGTGATACCCACTGCTATGTCTCTGTTACCTAGAATGGTTTTTGCTATTCCAAGTCTCTTCTGGTTCCAAATGAATTTTTGGACTATTTTCTCTAGTTCTGTGAAATATACTGTTGGAATTTCAATTGGTGTTGCACTGAATCTGAATAGCAGTTTTGGTAGTATGGCCATTTTCACTATGTTGATTCTTCCTCCCCAGGAGCAGGGGAGATCCTTCGACTTTTTTATATCCTCTTCGATCTGTTTCTTCAGAGTGTTGTAGTTTTCAGTGTAGAGTTCTTTTGGTTCTTTCATTAGGTTGATTCTTTGATACTTCATTTTTGGGGGATGCCATTGTGAAAGCAATTGTTTCCCTAATTTCTCTTTCAGTGAGTCTGTTATTTGTGTACAAGAAGGCTATTGATTTTTGAGCGTTGACCTTGTATCCAGCTACTCTGCTGAAAGTGACAATTAAGTCTAGAAGTCTTTTGGCAGAGTTTTTTGGGTCTTCTATGTAGAGTATTATATTATCAGCAAATAATGGCAGTTTAACTTCTTCCTTCCTTCTCTTTATTGCTTTAATTTCTTTCTCTTGCCTAATTGCTGTGGCTAATGTTCCCAGAATTATATTGAAGAGGAGTGGTGATGGTGGACATCCTTGTCTTATTCCTGATTTTAGCATGAAGGTTTTCAGTTTTTGACAGTTTAGAATGATACTGGCTGTTGGTTTTTCATAGATAGGCTTCATCAGGTTGAGATAAAATCCATCTATTCCAATTTTCTGCAGGGTTTTTATCATGAGTGAGTGTTAAATTTTGTTGAATGCTTTTTCTGCATCTATTGAGATGATCATATGATTTTTGTCCTTGACTTTATTAACATAGTTTATTATATTTATTGACTTATGTATATTGAACCATAGGATGGGGATTTAGATGGTGTTAGGAGCAGAGGAATAGGTAGGTAGAAGAATTGGAGAAGGTTTCAAGTGAAGCCAGAGGACACAGGATGACTACACGAACTTTAGGAAATTATTGAAGACAAGAGGGAAAAACAGAGTGCAAGAACAAAGACAAGAATAGAACAACAACAGTAACAGGGACTCACTTTCCTTTGAAATTAGTGACCCTTGAGTGAAGGAAAAAGAGAGAAGAAAAGAAAAGAAAGAAAGAAAGAAATCTGAGTTAGGGCAGGAACCAGAACAAAAAGGGAGATGAAGAATAATGTGGGGAAGCAAGAGACTGAGAGGGAGAAAGAAGACAGGAAAAAAGAAAGCACTTGCAGAATGGGATGAGGAAAAGAAAGAAGAAAAAGAATTTGAAGAGCCTCTTTCAGGGTGTATCTCTGCTGTCACAATAGACAATGTGAGCAGCGATGTGCAGAACTCAGTCATTTAGTCTCAGCTAGCTGATGGCTGACCCCTGACCTCTCGCAGGGTTGAACTCTGCAAGGTTCTGCTACAGGTTCCTTTTGCCCTTTCTCTGAAGATAGTCAAAGGTCTGATGGAAGGTGGTGATCCCTCCAACTTACCAACGATGGAGGTCCAGTGTGACTTTATTGCAGTTGTTCACTTCTGTTCTTTCTTCTGGAGCTCAGTAAAATGACCTTTATGACTACCTGTGCTTCTGCAGTGTGGATCCAGGAACTGGCACAATCAGGAGGCCCGAGAGCATGGGGGTGGGGGTAGTATATTGCAGAGGCTGGGTGAAGGCCGGGACACTGGCGCTGGCGGGTTACCTGAACGGCCGACCGGTCCTCACCGGTTGAAAGTTAAAGTCCAATTTTAAGTTAAAGATGAATATTCATTTGAAGTCCAATTTTAGAAAAAGTAGCTTATTTACTATTAAGCACAAATGTCTCTTTATTTGCTTTTGTAAAGGTCAAAACTATAGTTAAGTCCCTACAGTCCAGACAAATAGTATACTATTTACCTAAATCTTTTGGTGGAGGGGTGGTTCTGGAATTATCTCTGCAATGTTATGCCTTTGTATGCTCCAATTCTCTCTCTGATTTTATACTGCAATCAACTATAATGCCCACTTAGGTCCCCAGTCTTTGCCTGTGCTGTTTGACTACAAATTGTGCTATCTTGTCTGGCTAGTAGCAATGAAATATGACATGATTTGACTTGGGAACCTTATTAATATAATGGCGAAAAGACTTCAGTGTCACAGAATGATCTATTTGGGTTAGTTCTTTCTCTTGTCTTACAATGTTACTAGGGCACATGTTTACCTTTGTTAAATGTATTGCTGAATGATAGGCTAACTTACCAATAACTCAGTTTTCATTTATTTTGGATTTTAGAGTGTGGCCAAGTTCACGGACCTTGAGTTGAAGGCCTATGCCAAAGCAGGGTGTGTGGCCGATGAAGTCATCTCATCTATGCGTACAGTGGCTGCTTTTGGTGGTGAAAAAAAAGAGGTTGAAAGGTTGGGTAAATTTCCATTGCTTTCCTAAATGTCACCAAACAGTGTACCTTGACTTTGACTTTGCCTTGTTTTGTACAAAGAGGAAGATCTACAGTAAACCAAGGGAGCATTTTCAAGAGATAGTTAAACACAGTAGTTTAGATGGATCAAAACACTACAAGAAGCCCTAAACCTTTAGCAATGTGTGTTTGAGGATATTGAAGCTGATGATTTTTTTTTTGAAGGGCAATTTAGGTTAGATATTCATTTCAGCTCTGATGATGTATGTATATAGTAAACTTCAACTGGTCTTTAACACTGTTTACTGCCATCAAAGAAAAGTCTACATGAGATATTACAACTCTGAAACACTGAAACCACAGAAATACAAACGATCCAACAAGTTGGATAACCTAGAAGAAATGGGTATATAGTGTTCTTAGAAGCATACATTAAATCATGAAGAAATAGAATTGAACAGGCTAATAGTGCGCAGGGAGAGTGTCAGTAACAAACAAACAAACAAAGTCTTCTATCAAAGAAAAGAACAAGACCAGAATTTACTGCTAAATTCTATAAAACATCTAAAGAAGAATTAATAATACTAATTCTTTAAAAGTTTACTTTATAATTCTGGCATTAATCTAACATAAATCTAGACAAGGATACTGCTAGAAAAGAAAATTATATGTCAATATCTCTGATGAACATAGATGCAAAATTCCTCAACAAAATACTAGCAAGCCAAATTCAACAGCACATTCAAAGAAAGGATCATTTCCCACAATCAAATGGAAGTTATCCCTGGAATACAGAGATGGTTCATTACAAACAAAGCAATAAATATGATATACCATGTTCACAGAATGAAAGACAAAAACCATAAGATCGTGTCAACAGATGCTTAAAAAGCATTTGGCAAAATTCAACAGGCATTATTGATAAAAACTCAACAAATTTGTTACAGAAGGAAGGTGGTGCCTTAGTTCAGTAAAGGCCACATATGATGATCCTGCAACTGAATGAAACTCAGTGGTGTGAAATCTTTTCCCTTAGACCTGGAGAAGATAAGGATGCCCACACTTTCCACTTCTATTCAACATGGGAAATAGAAGGAAATTAAGGGAATTTAAACCAGAAAAGAAGGTCAGTAGTCTCTGCATTCAGATGACACATTACATAGTGAAAACTCTGAAGGCTTCACCAAAAATCTGTTAGATGTACTAAACAAATTCAGTAAAGCTTTAAGATACAAAATCAATACATAAAAATGAGTAGCATTTCTATACATTAACAAGTAAGACATAACCTAATTTACAATAGGTACAAAAATTTAAAATATTTAGGAATAAATTTAACCAAGGAGGAGAAAGGTCTATATACTGAAAACTATAAAACCACTTAAGAAATAGATGGAAAGAATACAAATGGAAAGATGTCCTATGTGTATGGATTGAAAGAATGACTATTGCAAGAATCTCAATACCCACCAAAGCAATGTATGGTTTCAGTGCAATCTTTACTAAAATTCCAATGAAATTTTCCATTGAAATAGGAAAAATATCCTAAAATTTATATGCAACCACAGAAGACGCCAAAGAGCATAAGCACTGTTGACCAAAGGAACAAAGTCACAAGCATCACATTATCTAATCTCAAAATCTACTATATAACTCTAGCAATGAAAGCAGCCTAGTTATGGCGTAAAACACACTTGTGTACCAATGGTACACAATAGAGTCCAAACATGAATCCATTCATTTGCAATCAATTGATTTTTTTACAAAGATATCAAGAACACACAATAAGGAGAGAACAGTCTCTTTAAGAAATCCAGTTGGAAAAACTGAATATCTCCATGCAGAAGAATGAAATTAGATCCTGTATCTCCCTTCATATATAAAAATCAATTAAACATGGATTAAAGACTTAACTATAAGACCTAAAACTACGAAGCCACTAGAAGAAAACATAGAAGAAATACATGCTTTGGAACATTGGAATGGGCAACTATTTTTGGATAGGATCCCACCCCCAAGTACAAGAAATAAAAGCAAAAATAGGCAAATGGAATTGCACCAAAGTAAAATGCTTCTGCACAGCAAAGGAAACAACAGCAAGAAGACAACCCGCAGAATGAGGGAAAATATATGCAAACTATGCTTTTTGGGGGGCGGGTGGCGGGTATGGGGATAGAACTCAAGGCCTTGCAGCTTGCGAGGCGGGTGGCGTGCAAACTATTCTTCTGACAAGAGATTAAATATTTAGCTTCTTGGCTATTGTGTAGATGGGTGAGCAGATGTAGAAGAGTTGATGTGAACTCTAGTTTTAAGACTGGGGGGGCTGGAAACACCCGATATAGTCTCACCTGCTGATTTGGAGACAGCTGCATTGTTTTCTGATAGGCAGCACGATGTTATGTGATGCAAGAAAAAAAATTCAAACACAAATAGTAGATCCCTCATGTCTCAACACATATGTTACAACTTCACCACTGCTATTCATCCAGCTACAGTAAATTTACAAGGCCTTGTTAAGTGTCATCCTTTCAATGTGTTTTCATTGCCAGTTTCAAACGAACTTTACTATCCCAAGGCTATTGTGGGTTTCTTTCCCTGCAGCTGCTTTGTACTTGGGGTGTTTTATGGTTGCTGAGTAAAACCCTGCATAGTGGCTGGTTTGCTGAGATTGACCTAAACATTTTCTCTTCCACAGGTACGAGAACAATCTTGTGTTTGCTCAGCGCTCGGGAATTAGAAAAGGGATGGTGATGGGATTCTTTACTGGATACATGTGGTGTCTCATCTTCTTTTCCTATGCACTGGCTTTCTGGTATGGCTCCCAACTTGTCCTGGAGGAGGGAGAATATACACCAGGAACCCTTGTTCAGGTACTTTGATCTTGTCACCCTAAACATAATCATTTCCTGCTTGTATCTCAGCAGATCCCACAGATTAGACATGGGCTTCATTCCTTTAGTATCTGAGGGGGTAGGAGTCCATCTACAGTAACAATAGTATTAAGCATGTATAGCATTTGGATTGATAAGAATAGCATTTTAATGATTCCCAATTAACTAAAGACTTGGTAGCCAGAAAATGATGATTTTTTTGTTGTTGTTGGTTGAGTCCAAAGGATAATAATGCCATGAAAATGGGAAGTCAGTTATCTTTTGGCTAAAAATTCACAAATTATATGACTTAACTTAATAATAGTACAAGAGGTGTGCCTAATGGACATATTTGTGAAGTGAGAGTTATTGAAATATCAAGCCAATAATATCCTCAACTGAACAGAAAATGAAAACATATTCCACTACTCACTTGTGCTATGGCAAACCATTGCTAATGTTATAGCTACTTTAATTTTCAGTGTCCTTTTAGTTATTCATTCAACAAGTTATTATTGAGCACCTACTGTATGCTGGACTCATCCAGAGTGCAGGGAATTCAACAGTAGCAAAAGAAATGTGGGTTTGTTTGGGTTTTTTTTGCCCTAATTGTTTTCACAGTTTTGTGGGAAAGGCAAGTGATAATTAATCTTATATATGCATAATGCCAAATGGGGACATGAGCTAAGAAGTAGAGGACAGGACCCTTGAGAGAGAAGAGAAAGGTAATTAGGTGTGTCTGGGTCAGGGGAGGCTGTTTCTTCTCAAAGGCCTTTCTTCCTCAGACTATGGTTGGCCCTGGCCTATTCTGAGTCACTGTTTGGATTCTCAGCTGCGCGACCTTCCACACTGTCTTACAGCGTCTGTACTTTTCCTTTAGAGCATTTGTATCACACAGAACATTTGCCTTCATTCACATTTGGTCCCACCTCTCTCTGCTCCCATGTAGTAAGGTCAAAGTAAAATATTGATTTCATCCCAGAGGATGGGAAATAACTTCACTTCAGAATATTAAATAAAATGATTTGACTGCAGATTCTGGTTGGGGCAGGAACAGCGAAACCATTAAAAAAAAATCAAAATCTTTTCTACCAGAAATTTGATAGCTGATGCTATAATTTGAGATCTACTGCTTTAATATAAACACATATCTAGGGAAAATTGAATAGGATTTGGATTTATCAAAGAAAAAAGTGTAGCTCTTTCAGGCCCCTCTTAAGCTTCATATAAAACAATGATGATAACAGAAACAGGGGCAGGAGTAGCATTCGGTCAGAGTGCACAGGTGTCAAGCACTGAGTGACTAGGTCATGTAGTTATGTATGTAACACAGCTTCATTCTGTGATCAGTGTCAGTAGGCTCCCACTTCAAAAACGAGGCTAAGAAATATGTGTCAAGTGGCATGGAATGTGATTTGAACTCAGATCTCTGTGTCTCCAGGACCTGACCCTTAACCACTGTTTGCTGGACCTCCAGAGCTGTCTTCTGAGGGACTGCAAGCCCCCTTCTTCTAGCACAGCACCCAGAGAGTGCTCCCCTGAAGGCCCTCTTCCCTCTCTTCTGTCCATGGGTGTGATCTTCAGGTTGAAAACTACTGCTCTCTCGGGACAGTTGCAGGCTACATTTTCCATACTGGACGTGCCCATCTGTCTCACTCGCTCGCTCTCGCTCCTTCTCTAAGGACATCCAGATAACATGTGCCTGAGGCCATGGCTTTCCAAGCCAGATTGAGCAGGGGTTTGGCCCCAGAACTCAGCTGAAGCCTCCAATGAGTTAGCAAACTGTGGCCCGCAGGCCAAACCCAGTCCATCACCTGTTTTTATCAATAACACAAACACAGTCATTTACCAATTGTCATAGTTGCTTTTGTTCTGCACAACAGAGGTAATTGTTTCAGGGCCCATATGGCATGCAATGCCCAGATTACTTACTGTTTGGTCTTTATAGAAGATGTTTGCTGACTGCTGATGTAGGGCATAGGACAGCTTTCTTTGCTGCGATGGGAGGGCCTCTGATGAGAGCATTTTAAAGCATTTCAGACTCTGAGGAGCGTTCTACCCGCTGCCTTACCACCTCCCTGTGTGGGACCTCAGTACTTTCTTCCTCATCATTTATGTGACTAGTGCTGGGTGAATCATCTTTATACACACAATCTCAGCCCACTGAAGTATATATGCCCATTGTCCCTGTGTTACAATAAAGAAATTAGGGTTTGCCCAATTACCCAGCAATGGGAGACTGGATAAAGAAAATGTGGGGGTTTTTTTCTTCCCAAAATAGAGTACTACTCAGCTATAAAAAATGAGAAACTAGAGACAATTATAGTTAAATGGATGTGCATTGAGTAACATTTATTTTACTGTTAAGTAAAATAAATAGGCACACATGAGTAAATACCTAATAGTTCCTCTGGTGTGAGAAACTGAAAGTATAAATAAGGACTAAAAGTTATAATAGATAATGTGAAATAGGAAGAAAAGGTGCAAAGGGGAAGGGGAAATGAGAGGAGAATAGGAAAGGAAAGAAGGGAATGGAGTTAATATGAGAAAATGAAAAAAAATGGAAACAAAGTCTTTATAGATAGGGAGGGAGGGAGGGGTTAAGGGGAGGGCAGGGGAAAAAGGAAAAAATAACCAAGATCGATTATGTAAAGGTACAAATTTCCAATAATGAATGTCATTATATTATGTATCTTAAATACACCAATAAAATTAAGTTTTTAAAAAGAAATTGGGGTTAGAAAGATTAAGTAACCTGCCACCAGCAGGAACCATCAGTCACATGGAGGAAAAGGAACAAGGACAGATGAAAAGAGATCGTTTGATAACCCCAAACAGGCTACATTCAAGTAGGAGTCAACCTTTATCTTGACAGTCAACCACTGCCAGTGAAATAGCCTCCTGGTGAGTCAGGGGATCTGGACCCATCCCTGAGTTGATGGAGCGGGGAGGCTTTGTCCTCCCCTTAGAGATAAATTTGAGGAATTACTGCGCTGCCTCTCCATAAACAGCACTGCTAAAAACAGTGCTCTTTAATAGGATCATCTGGGTGTGAGCACGAAGAGTCAGGACAGCTTCCCCAGCTCTGCACAGGAACCAGGTGACTCCACCTGCATGCAGCCAGCAGCCGGGGAGCTTGGGAACTACTCAGTATGGCACTGGGCTCAAACACTGCACTAGTAATTACATGTGCCTAGGGCAATCTGTTTCCTCTTCTGTCATAAGGATTGTATGAAACATTTAAAACATATCCCTTTGGTTATTATCTTTAGCAGTAGTATAGCAGCAGCAGGGGTAGTGACAGCAGTTATCATAGTGACCAAGACACTTGCAGGAATAGTGCTGATTGGCTTTGCATGTACCAACCTCTAGAACAGTCAAGCTGATCTTAGTGTCCTTATTATTTATGTTGCCCCTTAACTAGAACATCATTAGAAGGCTGATTCTATAACAAGTCAAACTATCTGATCATTATTTGAATCCACTTCGTGTGTCTCTGTTGCCTTGTTTATGCCTCTTTACTCATTTCTTCTACTTTGTAGAAGAGTAATAAATGTTCAATAAAATATAATATAGTCTTTTAAATTGTAACAATGGAAACACTGGATGTGCTTTACAGAACAAAACTATTCCAGGCACATCCAAAGAGCCAAAGAGCTATTTAGCTTTCAAACTCCTGCGGAAGAATATTTCTGGGCAAAACTCAGTGTGCGTGTGGATGACCCAAATGGCAAGGAGCACTGTTTACAAACTGACAAAAACATGTAGTAAAAAAAATGTCTCTCTTTTCATTACAGGTCTTCCTTGGTGTCTTAGTGGGAGCTTTAAATCTTGGGAATGCATCTTCTTGTTTGGAAGCCTTTGCCACTGGGCGTGCAGCAGCTGCCACCATTTTTGAGACAATAGACAGGGTATGTAAAAGCCTGACTTAAAAGCCATTAGAATGTCCGGGGTGGTGAATCTCCAAACACATTTACCCTTATGGTTCATAATATGAGGATTGATCAACATGCCCTTTAGCTGGACCCATTTTCAAGAGCTATAAATGCAAGTGAACTGAAACAAACAGTCCCCCCTCTCACACTCAGATAGGGAGACCTGACAAGAAAGTTTGCACATTCAAAGACAGGTGCTAAGTGTGACAAAAGAAATAATACAGAATAACGTGAGCCAGGCACAATGGTGCAGGCCCATAATGCCAGCTACTTGGGTGGCTGAAATAGAAGAATTACAAGTTTGAGGCCGACCTGGGCAACTTACTGAGACCCTGTCTCAAAATTAAAAAGAAATAGGCTTGAGATGTAGCTTAGCGGTTAAGGACTTGCCTAGCATACGTGAGGCCCTGGGTTTAATCCGTAGTACTGCAAGGAAAAAAAAATTGAGCAATGTGATCATGACTAAGGTAGGGGAAGAAATTTTTAAATTCAGCTCATGGAAAATGAAAGCAGGGAAGGAATTTCTACAAGAGAGAGTTTCAGTCTATAGTGATCTTAAGGAGCTGAAAGAATGTGAACAGAGTAAGAAAGGGGCTAAGGCTAGTGGTACTGAGGACCCCTTAAACATGCCTGGAAACCTCTGCAGTAGGCTCCTGTCTCCTGCCCAGTGTATGACGCAGACCTGAAGAAACAGACAAACAAACAAAACTAAAAGACAGAACTAAGAGAGACAGAAAGTGGTGCCAGGAAGACCAATGCCAGTGCACTCAACAAAGATGTTGGTTAGCCCGAGCCACTGATTTTTATTGGTAATCAATTGGGGTAAAGGCAAGCTACATGTGAGGATTTGAAGTCATGTGGTTTCTATGGAAATTAATGTAAGCAAGGCTCCTGAAGGGCAAGACAAAGCATTCTTGAATTAGGAACAGAATCGACGAAATATATGGTTGTAATTAGAATATTGTCCTTTTAGTAAGAAGGTTTTAGTTGTGGGAACAGAATTTGGGTGTGAGTCATTCTGACCTCAGCACTTCTATAAACAAGCCAGTCATGGGGTTCACTCTTCACAGCCTGCTTTGGAGCATAATCAATATTACAGTGTCCCACAAAGAGGGATGGGAAAGGCCAGGGCATGTAGGACTTTCAGACCCAGTTCGTAAACTGGATTGTCTTCATAATGTGGCAGAAAGACTCTACAAGTTTACAAAGAATCTTGGTTGCCTGGCTAGGATTGTACAGGGTAACCTGCAGAAGTACATCAGAGGTCAAGCTAGGGACTCACATCTAAGAGAAAGTAGAAGTTGGTAATCTATTGCTCTTTCTCTTGGGAAAAATGCTCTGGACTGAATCAGAAGCTCTGAAATCAGGCACTGAAATGTACCTGAGGAAGCCACTCATCATTTTATTAGCTTTAAATGGTGGGGTATCATATCATGGAATATAGTGAGATTGTTTGAAACCACAGAGAAATGATTTATTTATTCAAATTTGACATTATTCTTAGAGCTATTATATGCAATGACTATATAAGGGCTCTGAAACTATAACAAAACACTAAGGCATTAAAAAATTATTTTATTGTCTTCATTAGGGACCCAAGAAGAGAAAAGTAGAGTTCACTCTACCTCCAAATAGAACTAGGGTGATGAATTTCTATTACTAGTTGTGGGAGCGGGAAAAAATCAGACCTGGAATGTTCTGGGAGCGGGAGTTGACCCTTACCCTTGTCTGGTCAACCAGGGTGGTTAAGTTCCAGGTTACAGTCACCACTCATAACAGCAGCAGTGAAATTTAGGGTATCAACTGAAAGTTGGTGATATGTGAAGACATTGTTTGTAAACACTTAATTCTGATCATCATTTGCAAAGGATACTCAAATGTAGAGTATGACTGGCCCTGGCTAGTTCCTCCAGTTGCAATGACCCCAGCCAAGAACCATCTCTCTGAAATTCCTCCACTTCCTTACCTGAAAAATGGGCACATCTAGTTAAGTTATGATGACAATTATATAAATGAAAAAAGAACTATAAAACACCTGTACATTGCCTTCCACAATAAAATCTAAGTAATATGATTCATGTATAAGATATCAATAATAAACATTAATATTAATATCATATATTAATAAATTGTATTACCATATAGTATAAACAATGTGTAATATCCCCTAGTAGTAACTCTATAACAATAAAATCTAGCATCTATTATATTAATACATGACATTTAATATATAGTAATTGCAATTATATCTCAGTAGTTCAGTAGTGATTATCACTATTATTAATAAGGAGCTGTGGCATGTTTCTGCAAGGTTTTAACTTTTTACTGTCTTTTTAATGAATTAAATCAAAGTAAGATATAGTAAACACATATAATATGTGTTCATACTACATTGCTCTTGAATTTCCATGCCAGAAACCCATCATTGACTGCATGTCAGAAGATGGTTACAAGCTTGATCGAGTCAAGGGTGAAATTGAATTCCACAATGTGTCTTTCCACTATCCTTCCAGACCAGAAGTGAAGGTAAGTGTCAGTCTTCTCCCTGGGAAAAGTGGACATTTGCTTCTTTGATGATTTATGTCCAGAGCCAAAGATTGCTGGTTTTCGGAGGCTTGTCTCAGTTTCTAGGAATAGGGGACAGAGGTATGTTTCTCCAGAAGTGTCTTCAGGTGTTGGGCCATCTTAGGGAAATATCCCATTTCTTTGTGACAGTTGTGTGATGCAAATCCCTCTGGTTTGAACACAGTCTGGCAGCCCATACAGATGAAGTCAGCTCTGTCATGCTCTGTTGAAATGAGTGACAGATCCTGTTATTTTAAGCTCACAAGAAATAGACTGCAAGGCAATCAAAGCATTCTTTTTTTCAGAGAGTGGAAAGATAGTGAGCTCCACCTGAGTAGACATGAGTGAGTGACAATCAGAGGCTGGCATTGCTAGCTTCTTACTTCCCTTACTTCTGTAAGTTTACCAGGATCATTAGTCCTCACAGAAGATGACTTGGTGGTATTGTGTTAATGTATCTTGTACTAGGTGATTTTCCAGGCCACCTGATAAGGAAATCTATAATTTTCCTGTACCTGCAAAGCAAGATCTTTACATGTAACATGTTGTATAGTAAAATTAGGATTTATGCCCCCACCAATAAATTGGCTTTGGAAATAGCAGCAGTGAAATTTAGGGTATCAACTGAAAGTTGGTGATATGTGAAGACATTGTTTGTAAACACTTAATTCTGATCATCATTTGCAAAGGATACTCAAATGTAGAGTATGACTGGCCCTGGCTAGTTCCTCCAGTTGCAATGACCCCAGCCAAGAACCATCTCTCTGAAATTCCTCCACTTCCTTACCTGAAAAATGGGCACATCTAGTTAAGTTATGATGACAATTATATAAATGAAAAAAGAACTATAAAACACCTGTACATTGCCTTCCACAATAAAATCTAAGTAATATGATTCATGTATAATATATCAATAATAAACATTAATATTAATATCATATATTAATAAATTGTATTACCATATAGTATAAACAATGTGTAATATCCCCTAGTAGTAACTCTATAACAATAAAATCTAGCATCTATTATATTAATACATGACATTTAATATATAGTAATTGCAATTATATCTCAGTAGTTCAGTAGTGATTATCACTATTATTAATAAGGAGCTGTGGCATGTTTCTGCAAGGTTTTAACTTTTTACTGTCTTTTTAATGAATTAAATCAAAGTAAGATATAGTAAACACATATAATATGTGTTCATACTACATTGCTCTTGAATTTCCATGCCAGAAACCCATCATTGACTGCATGTCAGAAGATGGTTACAAGCTTGATCGAGTCAAGGGTGAAATTGAATTCCACAATGTGTCTTTCCACTATCCTTCCAGACCAGAAGTGAAGGTAAGTGTCAGTCTTCTCCCTGGGAAAAGTGGACATTTGCTTCTTTGATGATTTATGTCCAGAGCCAAAGATTGCTGGTTTTCGGAGGCTTGTCTCAGTTTCTAGGAATAGGGGACAGAGGTATGTTTCTCCAGAAGTGTCTTCAGGTGTTGGGCCATCTTAGGGAAATATCCCATTTCTTTGTGACAGTTGTGTGATGCAAATCCCTCTGGTTTGAACACAGTCTGGCAGCCCATACAGATGAAGTCAGCTCTGTCATGCTCTGTTGAAATGAGTGACAGATCCTGTTATTTTAAGCTCACAAGAAATAGACTGCAAGGCAATCAAAGCATTCTTTTTTTCAGAGAGTGGAAAGATAGTGAGCTCCACCTGAGTAGACATGAGTGAGTGACAATCAGAGGCTGGCATTGCTAGCTTCTTACTTCCCTTACTTCTGTAAGTTTACCAGGATCATTAGTCCTCACAGAAGATGACTTGGTGGTATTGTGTTAATGTATCTTGTACTAGGTGATTTTCCAGGCCACCTGATAAGGAAATCTATAATTTTCCTGTACCTGCAAAGCAAGATCTTTACATGTAACATGTTGTATAGTAAAATTAGGATTTATGCCCCCACCAATAAATTGGCTTTGGAAAGAAATTTTTTACTAAATTTTAACAGAGTATCTCTAGTTTCTTTTTTTTTTTTTTTTTTAGCTTTAATTGAGTTTATTGGTACATTTTAGGGACACAGTACAGTTACATTCATTGTTGGGATCTTGTACCTCTACATGACAAGTCTTGGTTCTCATTTTTTCCCCTTGTCCCTGCCCTCCCTTCACCCCCTCCTCCCCTCCCCATCTACAAATATTTTATTTCCATCTTTTCATTATCTCACATTTTTTTCTTTTCCCTTATTACCCTTCCCCTACCCATCCCACCTTCCCTACACCTTTAGCTCCTTTCTTCCCATTTCTAAATGTCAGTAATCTTATTAGGATCTTCTTAATAATATTTTGGAAACCATTGTGGAACTCAATAAGGAGAGACCTCAGAGAACTAAGATTAGAGGTTCCATTTGACCTGGCTATTCCTCTGCTGGGTATCTTTCCAAAAGAATTAAAAGAATCATGCCACAGTGATATATGCGCACCCGTGTTTATAGAGCACAATTTGTAATAGCTAAAACTTGGAAACAGCCCAATTGTCCATCACATGGAGACTGGATAAAGAAGACGTGGTTTTTCTATAAAATTGAGTACTACTCAGCCATAAAGCATGAGAGACTAGAGTCATTCTGTGGAAAATGGATGCATATTGAGGCCATACTCTTAAGTGAAATAAATAAGACATACAGGTGTAAATACCGAATAGTTTCTCTGGTGTGAAAAACTGAAAATGTAAATAAGATCCAAATTGTATAACTGACAATGTGAAATAGGAAGAAAAGAGCTAACAGTGTAGGGGAAGTGGAAAGGATAGGGGAAAGGAAATAAGGGAAAAGAAAAAATATGAGAAAAGGAAAAAATGTAAACAAAGTCTTTGTAAATAGGGAAGGGTGAGGGGGTGAAGGGAGGGCAGGGACAAGGGGAAAAATGAGAACCAAGACCTGTCATGTAAAGGTACAAGATCCCAATGATGAATGTAACTGTACTGTATTCTTAAAAAGTACCAATAAATTCAATGGAAAAATATTTTGGTGGGTTTTTTTTTTGGGGGGGAGCTTTTTGAGACAGAGTCTCACTGTGTAGTTCAGGCTGGCCTTGAATTCACTATGTAGCCCAGGCTGGCCTCAAACTTATAGCCATCCGCCTGCCTCAGCTTCCCGAGTGTTGGGATCACAGGTGTGTGCCACCACTCCTGGCCTTAATAATATTTCTGTTATCCCTATAGAAGTAAATCCTACCTTTTTTTTTTTCCTCATTGAGTTTGTTGGTACATTTTAGGTACACAGGACAGTTACATTCATTACTGGGATCTTGTACCTTCACATGACAGGTCTTGATTCTCATTTACTAAATCCTATCTTGTTAGCCCAAGTTTTATTCTGATACTATATATGTAGGTATGTATATATGTGTAGTGTGTATGTATGTATGTGTGCATGCATGACATTTACAGAAAGAAAAGGTAAATATGTGTTCAATGTAGGTTAATATTTATCTGCATTATATAAACCTATATTATATAAATATATAAGTAAACATATGTACAGCAAAGATATAAGCATACCTCTATATTTATCTATATTATATGTAAATATATCCAACAAAAATAAATATACATACTCACTATTTATTTGGAGTGGATTCTTTATTATGTTACAGATGTACTGACACATCAAACGCTATAATGTATGCAAAAGAGCTTTGTAAAATATAAATCAGGAAGTAATACTCCATAAATATTTTATGAATGGATGGCTTAAAACTTTATGCTATTTGGAATCAGCTTCTCATAGCTGCTCAGCAAACTCATTGCATTGTGACATTAACTTCGTTTCTGTTGCTGTTTTATTCTCAAAGGCAATAATTCACTTTAATAGCAATTTCCTATCTAGAGCCATGAAGCTTCTTCCTCCATACCGTGCCTATGTGCTTAGCTCTGTTGGGAAACATATTGCACTGGGACTGTAACAATAAAGGAAACACAGTCCTTGCTCTCCCCATTCCAGGAGGCTTACAGACCAGTACAAACCAGAAAACAGAAGTGAATTTGCACACTTAAATCTCTAACAGGAAATGAAAGACACATATAATGTAGTCACTCAGAAGACCCTAAACTACCTTACACAATCGGTGCAAAATCATCTCTTGTTGGTAAAAATCTCCCACAGATAGTTATGAACTAGCTATTCTTGTTCTTGAGACCTACTAGTATTGAGTCCCTACTTTTCCAAGTACTTTGGGCCTAGAAATCCACCACAAACATTTATTAGGCAAATTTGTTCAGTTAACATGCATACGTATCATACAAGTGTCTGACAGCTTAAAATCTGCAAATTGGTTTGTTATTAATCTTTGGTCAGTAAATTAGCATTGTGCTTTTGCAGGGTTTTTTTCTTTAATTGGGACAGTGTCTTCAGGTATCCTACAGTAGTTCAGGAGTGTTTTAAATTAGATTTTGAAGCATAATTTTTGAAAGTCAACCTGACTTACTTTACCATTGTTAATACACGCCATCTTATTTGTTGGCTGCAGCTCTTGAGTAATGTGCTAAGTGCTAAAATCTCATCCTAGGCACTGTTGCCTTTTTCGGGTGAATGACGGATGTTGCTAAGGGTGAAGCCTAATTGCTTGATTCAGTGCACAGTGATAATCTAAACTTTTAAATTTTCTTTCCTCTCCAGATTTTAAATAACCTCAGCATGGTCATTAAACCAGGGGAAATGACAGCTCTGGTAGGATCGAGCGGAGCCGGGAAAAGCACAGCGCTACAGCTCATTCAGAGGTTCTACGACCCCTGTGAGGGCATGGTGTGTGTCTTCCGGAAACTCAGCTCCTGGGGAGGGGGGTGCAAATGGTGACGTGTTCTCAAACCGAGTCTGACTGGAGTGACAGGACAGCCTGCCTGCACAGTGACAGACCCACGGACAGCCAGTCTGTTCCATTTGCTGAGTAATCACAGAAGCTGCAGACGTGTTTAAACTGGTATCCGCTACTCCTTCAGAGAACTAGCTATTCTATTTCTTTTCTTCCTTCCTTCCTTCCCTCCTTCCTTCCTTCCTTCCTTCCTTCCTTCCTTCCTTCCTTCCTTCCTTCCTCTCTTTCTTTCTCTCTCTGTTTCTTTCTTTCTTTTTTCAGTAGGGTAGCAAAATCACTATTGATTCTGTTGACAACCAAAATAGAAACTAACAGAAAATAGTCCTGATTAGTCATGCAAAGTTGGGCTTTAAAAATTTTATATATAATTTCACAAACAGTCTACTTTTCCTCATTTTTATTTGAGTAAACATAGACTGAAACTAAGAAAATAAATATTAATAATTCTCATAAAAATGATTCCTTACTTGCATAACGACCCCTGACAAAGTACATGTGCCCAGTTTTCAAATGAGGAAACAAAGAGTCAAGAAGATTGAGACTTGGGCCGGGGATTTAGCTCCGTGGTTCCAACGCCTGCCTTGCAAACACAAGGACCCGAGTTCAATCCCTGGTACCAGAAAAAAAAAAAAAAGAAAAAGAAAAAGATTGAGACCTGCCTCAGGTCATTTGACTAGGACGTGACCAAGCCAGGATTTGAACCTAGGTATGTGGATGCCAAAGCACACGCTCTTTATCTCAAAAGCATTCTGTCAGAATCTCCTTGATACTTTGAAATAGACTCGTTTTGACTTCAGTACAATAGCTTCAATGCAATGAGTTTTCTGTCAGGCATACAATGTTACACAGACACCGCAAACATAATGGGACTTTCTTTTTTCATGGACTTTTCCTTTTCAGTTGGTATTCTTTACCACGTATCACCATCATAACACCTAGAATGTTTAATAAAAATCATGATTTTTGTGTAAGATTTTCACACCTTTCCTATTGTGATTTTTGTTGCTTCCCTGTAATATCTCTGACAACTACTTTTGAACAGTTATTTGATGAATCTGATCAGAATTAAGATTTATTATAAAATATATATGTAAGATAAGGGTCATTCCTATTATATTATGTCCTATTTTTGATGTTCCTTTTTGGTCACAAGACAAAAGATAGTAAAAACATTCAAAGTATGGCGAATGACTGGCTACTATTTGCTAAGTAATTTAGAATGTGTCCATTCCTGGGCCAACAGCACACAATCAAGTGACCTCTATATCATGTGTGTATTAGCGATTACATGACCTGCAGCTAAACTTATTTCGGTTCCATGCTGAAGTCTTTATATAAGTAACCACATTTCAAGAGGAACTGCTTACCGTCACAGTCTTGGCCAACCCTATCTTCTTTCTCCAGCGGTCGAGTACCACCTCATGTTCTCACTCAGAACCCTGAAGGTTCCCAGCAGCGTGATGTTGCTCCCATGTTCTCTAGGTGACTCTGGACGGCCATGACATTCGCTCTCTTAACATCCAGTGGCTGAGGGATCAGATTGGGATAGTGGAGCAAGAGCCAGTTCTGTTCTCCACCACAATCGCAGAGAACATCCGTTATGGCAGAAAAGATGCGACAATGGCAGATATTGTCCGAGCTGCCAAGGAGGCCAATGCCTACAACTTCATCATGGACATGCCGCAGGTACTTCCGGCCTTGCATTCCAGCAGGAAGCCCAGTTGTCATCAAGCGATAACAAGTCATATAGTACATACATACTCTTTGCATTTATATCCTGAATCATCACATTCTTAATATCACACTTGGAAATGTACTTGGCAATGTTCTCCTTTTCGTCTGCAAATATGTTGTTTTTATGTTTAAAAATCTACCAAATTAGAGAGCTTTTTGCTAAAAATTTCCTTTCATTTTAGATTTTTAGGTATAATTTCCTTATTCTATCTAGCAACTATGTGTCTAAAATATGCTAAATATGCCATGTGGCAATACTTGTACAATGCTCTCTTGATGTCCACCATTATCATTATTCTTTGGTTTTCTTTTCTTTCTTTCTTTCTTTTTTTTTGGGGGGGGTACCAGGGATCAAACACAGGTCTTTGTGTTTGCAAGACAGGTGCCAGAACCACTGAGCTAAATCCCTGGCTCTACTTTGGTTTTCTTGTGTTCTGACAACTAAATATTGTGTTATCAGAACTGCATTTTGCATATTAAAAAATAATTCCTCATATATCTTCATTCTACACGACAGTTACTACAAAACCAAAGTCTGTATTATTATACTTATGTAGATTTTGCCATTGATGGTCTGCTAAATCAAAGAAGAATTACTGATAGGTAACATGTGTATGATGATACTATGTCCCAGGCATTGTTCTAGCACTTTACCTCTCTCAACTCATTTAACCCTTATAACTATCCTGTCAGGTAGCAACTATTCTTATTTCCATCTAAACGTGGAAGACTGGGGTTCCCAGGGGTCAAAATGATGCAAACAGGCTCAAACTGATGTAAACAGAAAGGAAAGACAAGATTCATACCAGGAGCTCTGGCTCCAGAGTCAGTGATCTTAAATGTGTCCTATTCAGCCTTCTAAATTGCCTTATATATAGGATTGCAGCTGGGGGTATGCTATAGTCGAATGACTAGAGAATAAAGCTTATATAGACTGCCTCAATATCAAACCCATTTTCTCTACTCACCAACTTTGTGAACTCCCGTAAAGTTACTATCTATACCCCTTCATGCCCCAAGTTTCCTTATTTAGTAGTTGAGTGGAGCAGCAGTACCTGCCTCCTATGGTATCTTTGTGGAGCAAATGAGATGATATATGTAAAATTTCAGCACCATGCTTTACATGTGGTAGGTGCTCAACTCCTGTTGGCTAATATTAACTAAGCAAGATAAGAATTAGAGCTGGGCATGAATGCACACACCTGTAATCACAGTACTCTGGGAGGCTTAGGCAGGAGGATTACAAGATGAAGTCCAGGCTGGGCAACTTAGTGACTTTGATACCCTATCTCAAAGTAAAAAGTAAAAAAAAGGACTGGAGCTCAGTGAGATGGCCATGGGGTCCAAACCCCACTACCACAAAGAAAGATGAGTCTGACTGCTGGGATTGGTTAGATTCCCATGTATTGTTGGACATGTGAAATACTCGGTAGCCAATTGCTGTCCACAATCATTTTTATAAAGCTAGTTTGTCCTTCCATTCACAATATGAAAACATGTTTAATATTATACTTTGCTGCATTGTTTCACTAGAGGAAAGAGACAAAGATTTGAAATCTTTTAAGATAGATTTTCAATCTCTAGTTTGGTTGAAAACTTTCATTTAAAGTTGAGCTGGAGGGGAACATTTATATAGCTCAGTATACCTTGGAATAAAAGCATAAGTCAATTTCCTTATCTCACATGTAAATATCGATTAGACAATAACCTGTTTGGGGAAGGGGTGTTTCTTTCATTGCAAGTTGGACCTGTGGATATTCATGGTTGAGCAGGAAATGGCAAAGAACTTTGTACTGGGTTGCTGTCCAGAGCCGTCTTCTTCTCCCTTTGACTGGCATCACTTTCTCTCTAGCAATTTGACACTCCCGTTGGAGAAGGGGGAGGCCAGATGAGTGGTGGCCAGAAACAAAGGGTAGCCATCGCCAGAGCCCTCATCCGAAACCCCAAGATCCTCCTTTTGGACATGGCCACCTCAGCGTTGGACAATGAGAGTGAAGCCATGGTTCAAGAAGCTCTGAGTAAGGTTTGTGAAGAGTCTGAGTTCATTTTGTGGGTCCAGGTGGAAATGCCCATCTTTCAGCCGAAATAGGCCCCTCATTGGAGAGGGGTGATGTTACAGGGGTCCATGTGTTCAGTGTGATCATTCAAAAAACAATGGTTGGCTACAGTCTTCTTCACACTAAACAGGAGACAGTTATGATTAGCTTGAAAAAGCTGCGCATGGAAAGTTTAAACTCTTGTCATGAGTAACATGACTTTTTCTAAGTTCCCCCATCTGAAGTTGTTAATTGCAGCAGCAGACTAATGAGATTGTGATGCAATTTATGGCTACAAGGAACCGACCTTTTCCGATGTCTGCATGGCCTGTGTTAGGGTCCTCCCAGGAACCGACGCACTGCCTTACCTGTGGATTCTGGAATGATCCAACGACCAAGGTCAGCTGTGTCTCGTGTCTTGTTAAACAGCACACTGTGTGTCCTTACAGATTCAGCACAGGCACACAGTTGTCTCAGTTGCCCACCGCCTGTCCACAGTAAGAGCAGCAGATGTCATCATTGGTTTTGAACATGGCGTAGCAGTAGAACGAGGCACCCATGAAGAACTTTTGGAAAGGAAAGGTGTTTACTTCACTCTAGTGACTTTGCAAAGTTATGGAGATCAAGCCCTTACCAAAAAAGAAGTGAAAGGTAAATGCCTTTTCCCTTTTGCTTGTGCGGTCTGTTAAATAGTCAGTATATGTTGTACCTTTCTGTGCATATTAATACACACAGTGTGCTCTGTTCTCCCAGCAGCCCTGGCAGGCATTAAAGAAATGATAAAAGCAACAACTGAAGCTCACAGGTTAAATTACTTTATTAAGCCACAGAGCTGAAAACAAGTTGTTCTGATATTCTATTCTTCCCCCTTTTTAAATAGGAGAGTCTTCTAACTAACCAGTCTAATCTTTCTCCAACATTTCACATCTGGACCTGTGAACTATATTAGGCATAGCTACTGTATACGTGTTTTAACACATGAATTATTCTGAATAGACTTTCTTCTGTGGTTTTATCATTTTTGTCACTTCTAATTGGCGTCCCTTAAATGTTTTTATAACTAGTGCTGAAAGATTCCTATTTCTACAGAGGTAACAGGATACCATCTGATTCAAATGACTCAGTCTAATTATCTTGAATTTTTTATTAGAAAGTGCTGGATGACTTTCAAGTTTTATTTATCAAAATAAAGTTGGCAGGATAGGTTAACATCAGACCTCAATTTTAGGTCTGCCTACATTTTAGGAAAACATAGTAAACATTTGAATATGGTCCTTTTTATTGTATACCCTACTAAGTGGCACCTGTTATGTTGAACAGAAAAAGATGCAGCTGAAGACAACATGCAGAAGACCTTCCACAGAGGGAGCTACAGGGACAGTTTAAGGTAAGCTCAAGCCATTGGGCAGATTTCAGTTTTCAGATATTCCTAGGAGCTCTTTGTAATTGGGCTCCTCAAGGAAGTCCCACGCAGAATCACAGGTCTTGTATAGCAAGAATATACAGATAACTTCTTCAATATGAGATTTATTTTCCCATGCATGGATTTTTTTTTGTTTTACTTTGGCTTTTCATCACATTTTAAGTGGGACATGATGGATAATTTGGGTTAAAATTGTGTGTTTTTAAAGAATATATTTTCATTAGTACATATTAATGTTATAAAATATTGGGTTTCAATGTGTATATTTTGATCATATCCTCCCCCTTTATCCCTCTTTATACTCTGCTCCTCCTCCTGTTCCTTCCTCTTGTCTAACAATACTCAGTGTCTCATCTATTTTTGTTTTATCTTTTAAAAATTCCACATATTGAAGAAAGCATGTGCTATTTGTTATTTTAAGTCTAGCTTATTTCACCTGACAGGTGATCTTCCATTTCATCCATAAAATGTTGCCTGTTGGACTCAGAAAGGGTATTTTTTAAAACTCCATTTTTAATCCTTTCCCACCAAAGCTAAGCGATACATGAAACACTGTCTCCTATGGAGGCCACACACATTCACACCTTTTTCTCAGTTCTTTAACCCATAGAGAAGCAACTAAGTTACAAACACTTCTGCCCCTAGAGTTACCCATCTAAAATCAAGTTATTAACTAAGTGAAATAAAAATGTATTTTTTAGTTTTTAAAGAGAATTTCTGAAATGAAGTTTTTCTTCTCCAGATCAATACGTAGGTGTTCACTCTTAAGCCATATTTTTTGGAGTGTGTTGCTTTCATGCTGGCTCAAGAGTTTCACTTTAAAAAGCCCCTGTAATGTTAGAAGTCTGTGTTAACAATTCTAGGGGTCAGGGCTGTAGTTCTGTAGTGGTAGAGCACTTGCTTAATATATGTGAAATCCTGGGTTCAACATCCATCTGTCCAGTAGTATTCATCTGTATTCATAAAAAAGTTTATCAAGATTTTCTTTCCTTAAATTAGGAGACCATTGGTAGTGAATGACTGACAGCAACTCTCTACCATGGTCTTTCCTTACCATTTTCATAATGAAAATAAGGCTGTGGTCTAAGCAGTGGCTCATTCAAGATGGCTAATTCTATCAAAAAAAAGAGTTATAAAGGCTTAAAACATTCATGCATCAACTCTGAGTAGTCAAAATGGACTCGTTCATTTTTAATATTTAAGGAATAGTTCACTGAAAAGTATACTTATTTTCAAAAGTAAATAACTATCTCAAGCTCAAATTTAACTTTTCTTTAGAAATCTAAATTATTTGATTAAGTTTATTTTATTTGTTTTTCTTTTGAGAACAATTCTACTGAAAAAAATTTAAAGTACTAGATTTATTGAAATTATTATATTTGGAAAATAAAGCAACAGCTTCAAGTTAACTCTATAAAGTAAAAGCTATAAAAATTACTTGTCAAGTTTTATAGATATCTGGCAGTATGTTTATCTGAAGTAAAATTTTGAAATCTAAAGATACTATCTTCCTAAATGCAGAGAATGACCAGGCATCCCTTCTAGTCAGTAGGCTAAAGTAGAGAAATGACTTGTGGTCATGCCAACAAGAAAATAGATATCGTGTGAACTTTTAAGATGACCAAAACTGTACTTATTCTAAATGGTTTCTTTATAGTTTATTATTTGAGTAACTAACATTTTAAATATAAATTTTTATTTTGCTATAATCTGTCATAAATTCTACACTTTGATATCAAGATGAGAAATCCAGAAATACTATCTACACACAGAAAGTAGCTATTAATCTCCTGCAGAGAAAGATTTATAAGTTTAAGAAGGTCTGTTTAAAATATCCATTGCATATGCCAATAATTACTTTACAAAAGACGAATAAATGAAATGTTAGTTTGTATCTTGTTTCTTAGCCTTCAGTTTTGCTGATGGTTGAATCCCACTTAAGCAATATATTATTTAGGTTCAAGAACATTTAAATGAATAACAACCAATAATTTTCCAAGTGATAATGAGAGAGACAGAGAGAGAATTTATTCCCCAAATTAGCTATTTTTCTTTGCAGTGAAAAGTAGTGCACAGTTCCTGAGAAGAGGAGAGGCAGGTGTTGTAGGTTCTGAAAAGGGACGTGGCAGGATCTTATTCTGGTGTTGCTGGTAGACTTGTGGGACATGAGCTGGCAGTAGAGCTCCTGCCGGGCACAGTTACCATATGTGGAATGGTTGGGAATATCGGGGAAGAGAAAGAGAGAGATCTAGTAAATATAAGATGGAAGTAGTTGGAACACGAAGGTCTAAGAACATGGGTCTCCCCATGCTCGGAACGAGGCAGTGGTTGGTATAGAGGAGCCTCCTCCTTCTCCATATATTCCTATCTTGGTGTCCACAGCTCTGGGTTTGTTTTCAGGTCCATGACCTGGGTCTCTCTCCTATCATCTGTCTTCTCTCTGGGTGACACAAGCCCTTTCTTCCTCATCTTCTGGAGTTAGCTCATCCAAAGGAATAACTCTGTAGAATACTAGGCTAAGCAGGAAGGAATCAAGGTATCCTGAAGGCCATCCTGAGGACAGGGAGTTGGGGTGGGAGCGGCTGTGTGGTTGGTGATGAAGAGAGTTGGCAGGTGTTTGAATGGGTCAAGGCGAGGGAGGGAGAAGGATGGCGTTAAGCCCAAGTGACTAAGAGGAGGCAGTGCCAATGAAAGGGTGTGAGGACGCCTCAGAGAAACTAAGTTGACATGCTACTGCCTTCTCGAGGCACAGGCACCACCTGACACTTGGGCCAATCTCCCTTGGGTAGAAAGTGGCGAGAGAGACATGGGAATGGTCCTATCTCGAGGGCACCAGAGCAGTTGGTGTGGGGTTCCTCATGGCCATCGCGTCTCTCTGCACTGTACAGCTTTAGAGTCAGCTCTCTGAGCACAGCTATGCTAATGAGATTTCCCTCCTCCCGAGTGTTTATTATTGGCATCATTTGTGCAAATGACTGGAAAACCCAACCCATCTTGGTTTAAAAGGGGGAAAAAATCAGCTCACATAACCGAATAACCCAAAGATGCTTTGGCGTCAAGCAAGGCTAGGGTTTCATTATGTCCAAGTTAGGTGGTTTCCCTCCTTTCCTTCTTTGTTTTCCAGGAAGAGTCTTTCCATTGAGAGTCTCAACGTAATTGCTAGCAGCTTCCAGTGTTGGGTCCTTTCAACTTAATCCAGAGGAGAGCAGGAGTTTCCTTCCCATGAATCTCAGCATAAAAGAAAGCAGACCCAGCTGGGCATATAGTGGTATATGGTTGTAACCACAGCACTGTGAGAGGCTGAGCCAGGAGGATCATACATTCAAGCCCAGCCTGGGCAAATTTAGCAAATTAGCAAAACCTTGCCTCAAAAAATAAAAAAAAAATTTTTTTCAAAAATTAGTGATGTATTTCAGTAGTACAAAGGCCCTGGGTTCAATCTGAAGCACCACCAAAATAAAATAAAGCAAGGCACAATCATGTCCCATGGTTACTCTGCAAAGTATATTTGATAAGTAACCCTGATGTGTCTTATCTCTGCTCTGTTTGCACTGGTTCCTCCACCAAAAATGTTCTGTCCTCTGGACTGTAAACACCCAAATGCTACCTTAGCTTTTCCATGAATCCTTGCTTGGTAACACCTGCCGTACATTTTATTTTCTCTTTGAATTTCCCAAATCTTTACTAAAACCTGCTGTGTACCACTTACCACAGTCTTCCTTACATCAGGGCTAGGAATGTGCCTTGGTCTTCCCTGAGATTTAAATTCTTTGAGGAAGACGCCTGTGATTGGCCAGTCTTCGTGTCCCCATCTAACAGTAGTTAGCAAGTTGTAGGTACTTGATAAGCTTCTGTTGAATGAATGAATAAGAGAATAAATGAACACATTAAGCTAAATTATATTTCAATAGAAATTTTGTTAATGGATTTCTATAGTTCAGAGACAATCTCACTGGGGGCCCTAGTACCTCTGATGGGCTCATTTTGGGGCATGTAGGAGGCATCATACTAGAGTAAACATTAGGTATATTAGAGAGAGGAGGGGAGGGAAAGGAGAGAGAATCAGAGAGAGAGAGAGAGAGAGAGAGAGAGAGAGAGAGAGCGAGAGAGAGAGATCAAACTACAGCCTGAACTGGAGGGGAGGTGAAAGTGATGAACCGTCCCCTTGGCCATGGTAGCTGTTAACAGGACTACGTGGGCTTGAAAGGCATTTGTTGGTGGAATAGTGGGACAGTTGTGTTCCATTTCCCTTTCTCTCTCCCTGGCTAATCTGAGTCTGGCTCCCCCAGTTACAGAGCTTGGGGCCCAGAGTGGTCAGACTGACTGATTAATCTAGGTCTTTCATTAAACCCGGAAGTTTCCTGCCTTGGTTGCCCGGTAACCTGCCAAACATTTCTGTTGATTTGATGTGTGATGGAAACGTGGACACCAGTTAGGTCTTGTTCTGAACTGCCCGCCTGCTACAGTCTCTTCTGTCTTTCTGTTTGTTTGCAGAGCTTCCATCCGGCAACGCTCCAGGTCTCAGCTTTCCCACCTGGCTCATGAACCACCATTAGCTGTTGTAGATCGTAAATCGACTCATGAAGATGGCAAGGTCAGGCACTAACACTCCTGGGGAATGGACGAATCTCTCCTGGGGACCTCTAGGTGTCCTTTAAACATATGTATAAGTATTTTCTACGTATATGGCTAATAGCACAACATAAGGGCTTGGTGCAAACTCTAAATTATACACAATTTTTAGAAAGAAGCACAGATTAGCTGATTAATTACTTTTAAGAATACATGTTTCAGAGCATGGTAGTGCACATCTGGAATCCCATCACTCAGAAGGCTGAGGTAGGAGGATCACTGTAAATTCATGCCAGCCTGGGCTGCATAGTGAATGCAAGGCCAGCCTGACTATGTAGGACTCTGTCTCAAAAAAACCAAAACCAAAACCAAACAAAAAACTGATACATGTTAACTAAAACTGGACCATGAAAGGTTAGTTAGTAGTTTTTGGTCTTTTTGGTACGGGGGGTTGAACTTGGGACCTTGCACTTATAAGACAGGCGGCAGCACCATTGAATTAAATCCCTGGTCCAAAGGTTAGTTAATAGGTTTGAGATGAGTCATTCTATAAACATAGAAAAAGGGTTTATCGCATGTACTTTAACAAATTATTTGCTGATATGGTGTCATGCTTTTGAAATTTTAAAGAGTATTCAAACATTTTTTCTCAAATTTAGAATCTCTTAAATTATAATAAAAATATTTGATCAGCAAAAGTATTTGATAAGGTTAAACTTTACACAAGTTATCATGAATTTTGAATTCCAGAGGTCCTTTAGGTTTTATGGATGTTTGTTTACTTCATTCAATTTTATAACAATTTTCAGGACGCAGTGAAAATAACTGTGCTAATGTAAACATAAATTGAAAATAGCATAAACTAAAAGAAATAGGAGAAGAATCCATGTAGTTAAGAATATAAAACCTTTTTCATGAGGACACAGGTGTCCTGCTGTTGTGGACATCGTCTATCATCCTCCTCCAACCACTTGCTGGCCTTGATGCTTTCAGTCCCCTATAAACACTTCGTTAGAACCTTTTCATGGTAACTTTCTTACTGGCTTTGAGTTTGTGTTGTCTTACCCCTTCATTACATGCAAGTTTCTTAAACTTAGTGTCCATAACTTATTTATGTTGAATCACTGTGGGTAGTTGACCAAATGCCTCGAATTAAGTAGGACATTGGGAGGTTTTTATTTATTTAATTTATTTATTTTGGTTTTTAAGACAGGGTCTCACTATTTATGTAGTTCAAGCTGGTCTTGAGCTCACTATGTAACTAGTGCCGGGATTACAGACATGCACCACCATATACCAAACTCATTCAATTTCTACATTTTTTTTCTAGTTTCTGGGTAAATGTTTGATGTTAAAAGTAAGAGAGGAAGGGAAGGAATAGAAAACTGACTTTTTGCCATTTTTGTTTAAGTTAGTAGATGACTTAGCTTAGTCACAGAATGGTCAAATTCCCCACTGATCTGGAGATCAGATGCCTGGGTGTCTTTTGATGAAAGAGCACTCAGAAGGGGCTAACAAATGAAAGAAAATCTAAATCCAGTATAGGAATTGATTTTATAGAGATTAAAATGTTCCATATTCTACTCATCTGCATTATAAATTAGAAATAAAATAATTTAAATCAATTAAATGTCACCCCGAGTAATTTTCAAAAGATGCTACTTTGTGTTCTCCCTTGTAAGGGAGATAGAAAAGAAAGATCTTACAGTAGTGCTGCTTGTATGTACAGCAGTTTTAGATTTAAGGAATTGTTTCCAAAGGAAACAATAGAGTTAGGGTTAATAAAAGTTGACTAATGGAATTTCTGACTCCGAGGAATACTGTAAGAGTGAGTGTTGCTCAGTTTTAGTATTTAAAAGTATTTCAACACTTTAACCAAATTCTGCAAGACTGCACATTGGCAAAACCTCTTCTTTGTCTGTCTTTGTTTTTTTGCTTGTTCTGGTACCGGGACTGAAGTCAGGACCTTGCGCTTTCAAGGCAGGCGGTGGTGCCACTGAGCTAAATCCCCAGCCTTGTCTGTTTTTGGTGGAGAAAGCCTTCTGTAGACTGGGAAATGTTCTAACCTGTTGCCAATGGTCTACTTGCACAAAGCAGCTATCTCCACCTTGTGGTCTCTTGGAGCATCGAACAAACAGAAGAGATGGTTTTCAGTCTGTGCTGCCCACGGAAGTAGAGTTCCTCGCCCACAGCCCAAGGTCGGCAGGTGACCTAGCTAAGCCCGTTTGTTCTTGCTCTCTAAGCTGTATACTTAGCTCGCGTGAGGTCAGATTTTAGATATATACCAACAATTTTAATTTTGGAGTAGGTTTTAGTCTCTAAAATTTTAGGCATCTTTTTTCAGTGAAACTAAAAAATATATGATAAAATCGGACCTTAGCTATCCACAACTTCATCACAACTAACTGTTAGATAGGGTGTAAGCATTAGTAAGAGATAAAAGACCTATAAAAATGACTATCAGTGTTAGTTCACTTGGGAAATCTCTGCTTCTTTGTCAGACTTATCATTTTTAATTATCAGATCCCAAAGTTATGATCAAGGCAAAAGAGCCTGTCGTTGGAATGCAGAGACCAGTGTATCAAGTATAGAAATCAGGACACAAGATTCAAGCAGGAAGGTTTATTTTCCCCCTAGCTCACGAAGGAGATATGAGGAAGGGAACTGGGAAAAGCCCAGTGTCTACCACTGAACCATCTACGCAGTAGGTAAGAAGTTATATGCACTTACATCTACTGTGTGCTTGGCAGTGTGTTGAAGATGCAAAGATGGGCAAGAGCTACTGTCATTCTTCCTGCCATCAAGCTGCTGACAGGTACCTTTTAACATGTGATAGAAAAAATAAGTGTGAAAGTTGCCAGAGTTGCAGTAGAGGCACAAGCTATGTAGTGAGCAAACACGTGAAGTTTATGATTTCAGTGCTCCTTGGGTGTGATGCCTCACACCTGTGATCCCAGCTGCTTGAGGTTGAGACAGGATGATCCCAAGATTGAGACTATCTAGGTAACTTAACAACAAAAAAAAAAACTGTTTCAAAATTTAAAAAAGAAAATGTAAGGGATAGAGATGTAATTCCATGATAGACCTACATGCATGAGGCCCTGGATTCTATTCCTAGTACCACTAATAATAATACTTATCATCATTACCATTATTTTACCTCCCTGTGTGAGCTACTGGTTCACTGTCAATTTATTCATTTCCCCTTTATACTTAGCTTTGCAAAACTAGAGGTAAAGTATTTCTTTGCAGAATGATTTAATTATATTTTATATAGTTTACTTTTATTCCTCTACTATATCAAACAAAAGTTCATTATTTGGGAACCAATTTTCTGCTTTTTTGCATCCTTCAGGATTGACATTTGCTTTTGGTAAGGGGACTAGGGAACAGTTTCCTTTGAAATCAATTTTTTAGTATAGGGAGACAAAAGAAAAATATTCAAATTAACTAATTTTTGTTTCTTGCTTGTTTTGGATGAAAGCTACTGGATAAAATATACTTCATACTGTTTTAAAATATCTTAGGCACTGGTACCTAGGCTTGGGGATCTCTTTGGATATCAGAAGGTCAGGAGAGTCTCCATCCTGCGGGGTTGTAGCTCCAGGAGGAGCTGGAGTTCCATATCACTAGGGAGCAGGCAGGATCCAAGGAATAGGAAGGCTCCTCACACACTCGGTCCCCTAGATAACACATGACAGCTAACATACCCAAAATGTATAACTATGGAATCCTCAACTCTTAGTGATGGGAAACAGCCTGGAGGTCATATACCACTGAGGTCTCACAAACTAAGCTGTGGTCACCAGAATCACCCAAGGAATATCTCTAAAAACAGAGTAAGGCCTCCTAAATTGGAATTCTGGTGATGAGACCTCCTGGAAATTTATATTTTTAATCATCAACCCTTATGCGTCTGTGAGCATCCAGGTTTGGACTCCAATCACCGTCTAGAACTCTAAAGGGTCTGATATTTTGCCCTTCTGCAAGCCTGACACGAGTTCATGGATGCTGGCAGAACACACAAGAGCCCTGAGTGAGAGATGAAGGACTCAGGGTACTCAGAGCAGTGGAAGGAGCCACCATTCTGCATTCCTGCACTGTTCCCAACTCAGTCTCCAACCCTCATAAGATGAAGTGGAGAGGGTCAGGTGATACCAGCAAAAGAAGTAGGTATGGGCACAAGGAGAAGGCTGGCTTAAGAAGGCTCTCTTTTATGGCAGGCAGATGAGCTAACTTGGAGAACAGACACTATCTCAGTCTTCCAAGGTCGTTAGCTATATTAGCATCCTTTAAAAAATAACCTGAACAAAGTTAATCGATTCCTTTGCTCACAAAATATGCAAAGATGTAGTACTTCCAGGAAGACTGTCTCCCTAGAACAACCTAGTCCAAGTCTTTCATTTTAAGAATAAGGTAATCAAGGCCCAGAGAGGTAAAGCTCTTAGTGACAGATTCCACTGGTGGCCACATGAGACTCATCCAAGAGCCCTTTCTTTCTGTCTCTGTTCTATTCATGCTTTCCCAAGCACGTTTTTTTTCTCTGGCACGGATGGTCTGAAGTTAGTAAGCTGTCAGAGATGAAATAATTGGACAGAGGATTTGCTGCATGAGCGATGAAATTACTGCTCAGTAACTGCAAAATGCAAATGTTGAAAGCAGCCAGGAGAGAGCTTGAAATGGAGGTAATAGCACATTCATCACCATCCTGAGCTGCCTTCCTCGATCCTATTTGACTTGAATTGTAACAAAATGGACATGACACCAGCCTTTCATTTAAATTGAATTGGTAATGCGATCTTTGACTTTGTAAGCAGAGTGAGTTTTTGAAGACCTTTATTGTATCTGCTCCTGTTATTCAGCTACCAAAAGGAGAAATTATTGTGTATTAGTAAAAGAGAGAAATCATTGAGTTTTATAGTCAATTTTCTATAGATATGTTAGTGTATTTTAATAGAAAAAGTAAAACAAATGGATGTAAATCTACACACGCCATCTAGAACTCTATCAGAGTAACAAATCCACCTACAGTATCACTTACTTCTGGGGCACTAATCAAGGGTAACCTTGCTGAAAATAAGAAAATAATAAATGTTGACACCAGTTAATGTATTGTTTAAATTTTCTTGTTCCAGATATGCCACCTGCCTTTTGAGCTCTAGTATAATCTAGTGCTTACGTTTAATCTTAGAACTTTAGTATAATCTAGTGTTTATAGAACTTTTATGAAAAACATATCTTGAACATTCCATTCTTTAAGTCCTCACATGTATATATACACTACAAAAAGTTTTTTTTAATTAAGAACTATTATTTCAGAGATCCAGTGTATTTGCCACTCCTTGTATGGATCCGTGTGTGAGTGGGAAATAAGAAGTACAGAATTACCATCAGGTCCATAGTCCCGTAGGGTCCACCGCTTCCAAGCCATGGCAAGGTCAAACCATTCCTCACAAACTAACAAGCTGCTGTCTCTGATAGATCTCTGAAGTAACTCAGAACCAATCAAACCATAACTCTTAAATCGGAATGTCAGGTTTGCTCTTTAATACAAGAGTATGTGTAACACAGGTATGTACATCTGGGTGGCTCATGTTAGTCCTCTTTTCCCTCAAGGACAAGGACATTTCTGAGGAAGAAGAAGTTGAACCTGCCCCATTCAGAAGGATTATGAAGTTCAATGCTCCGGAATGGCCCTACATGGTGGGAGGGACTCTGAGCGCAGCTGTCAATGGGGCGGTCACACCTCTGTACGCCTTCTTATTCAGCCAGATTCTTGGGGTAAGGAAGCCACTGCAAAAGCTTTATTCTCCGCATCCCTTCTTTTTGGATCGGTGACTGCTATCATATTTGTTAGGTCAACTCTTTGTTTTAGTATACTTGGCTGTTTTGTTTCTCTCAGGTCTAAAGGTTGAAAATTTCACCGAGTCTCTGTCGCACAGAAGGTGAGAAGGTAAAGCTGAGCACCCTCCTCTGGTCTACCAGGGTGCTCATAAAGTTGTCAGGCCCATGAGAAATGCTGCCCGCAGGACAGGGGTGTAGCTCATGCCTTGAGCACCTGCACAAGGTCCTGGGTGCAATTCACAGCACACACCCCACAGAAAGTACAGTCACTTTGAATAGGGATGCTTATCCTCATGCAAACCAACAGGATGCAAAGCAAGGTTGTTGACTATGAAAGGATTTTAGGGCAGTTTTTAATCTCACTAAATAGGTACAAAGTTTGTCTTATAACAGCAGGTATTAGTATATAATATGTAATTATCTGTTCTCTTACTGTATTGTATTAAAATAAGAATGTACAGAGGAAGTGAGAAAACGCAAGAAAGAGGTAAAAATAGGCAGGGATAAATAATAAGCTTACTTTGTATTTTTAATTTTAGGAGTTTTGATATTCCTTATTTGTCTTTATTACTATAATGATAAATACAAACATTTATTAGGTATTATCTAAGCACTTTATACATAGTGGCTCATTGATGTTTCCTAATAGCTAAATGAGAGAAGGTTTCTTATTATTCCCAGTTTATAAAGGAGCAAATCAAAGCTTAGAGAATTTAGGACAGCAAGTGGCACAGCTGGGACTCAAATCCAGCGAGTGTGACCATAGAGCCAGGTTCTGAGAAACCTTATTATTGGAAAATTAGTTATCAAGATGCTGACGTACTTTTAGTGGACACACACACACACACACACACACACACACACACACCCTATTAGGTCAACAAAGAAGAAAGCCTAGAACCTAAAGAACATTAGTAATTTGTTCCAGCCAAAGGATTTGAAGCAGCCAAAGGATTTGCCAGTATGCCAATTTGTCAGAGCCTATTAAGTGAGAAAAGCTTACATCTTAGGTCCTTCTTTTACATCTCTGTTATCACCTCTCTGATAGAAGTCCTAACCATAAAAATGTCCCCTCGGGCATGAACTATTCAGAAAAACCAGAATAAACCACAAACAAAATCAAGTCAATTGTGTGGGGAGGTCCCCAGCCACGGCTTTAATTTTCACACTGCCCCCTTGTGGTAAGTGAGAAAATCAAGTCATTTGCTGGGAGGTAGGAAATTGCAAACAGTGGGGACCTTCAACTCTGGGGAACTGATCCTTGGTTATTGGTGCGACAACCTTGTATGCTGAACATCTTTTAAGTAATTCATTTATATTCCTTAATTTCCTAGTAAGTAACATCCAAACATAAAGTCATAGTCTTTTATAAGCTCAACAGACATGTATTAGATACCGTGCTAGGGACCTGGGAGCGAATGCCCTTGTCAGTCATGGTACGTTCTTCAAGACAAATGTTAAACGTGAAAATCCATTCACCATGCAACAGATATGTACAGATCACTTACTGTTTCCTAGGCACCACTGCTAGGGTTGGGGATGGGGTGGCAGACAAGAAGGCCAGGCTCTCCCTGCCCTCCAAAGCTACTGTCCTAGCAGGGAGAGGCTCTGCATGTAAGTCTTGGTGGACAATGCAGCAGGTACAGAAGGTGGAAGAAGTGGAGTGAATCTGAAAAGATAGAAGCCTGCATCCTGTGTGTTGGCTTTTTCAAAGAAACTCAGAATGCCAGCTCCTTTGCCAGTTATCACTTTCTGTTCTATAAAAGCAGAATAAATTTTATATTCACACAACTTTGCCCAAACCACATATATGAGCTGCTGTGGGAAGAGTCCTGAATTCCCTGCCAGGACAGTTTTCCTCTGAAACAGGTTCTGCTAGCTGCTCACCATATGCTCTGTGCCCACTTCTCTCGTCCCAAATTTCCTCAGTGATGAAGGATGACAAAGATCATGTCTAAGAGAATTCATCTTTATTGCTCAGCAAGCCACTATCTTTCCTCGCTGATAAAGAAGATGGTTTCTGTTTGTCTCAGCATAATTATCACAGATTCATCAGTAAATTCCTGATGCTTTCCTCTCACCGGCTATCATTGCGTGCCTGTGTTTATTTGCTCCGTTTTCATGTGGATTTACCTATCCAGCAAAATAGCCACATGCGGTGTGCAGAGACCACATCGTGGGACATAGGCTTAGTGAGTGACTGAGCACTGTCAGGAGCCGGATCACTAACCTAGCTGGGCTTTGGTACCCACGTTGGGCGTGATTTATTTGTTTCGCTTGCCTTGTGCCTGTCTGACTTGGGAGATGTATTAGGTGTAGCAACTCCTGCGATCTGAATGCAGCCTGCTGGGAAGAAGCACAGGTTGGGAGTCAGCTAGACCTAGATTTGTCATAGGTCTCTGCACTGTCCTATCTGTACACATTTGAGCAAGACCTTAGCTTTGCTGAGACTTAGCTTCTTCTTCTGTAACATGAAGGGGGGAAAATCCTAGCAAAATTGGTTGTTTTGAGGACCTTTATTGAAGAAACTCCTAATTTAAGTTAAATCAGGTTCAGCTACACATTTGACATCTGCCACATACATAGCAAGAGTGTAGTGGATGTTTGTTTTTCCCTTAAGCGTGCTTACCTTCCAAAAGCAGCAAAGGCGTGTCCCCGAACTCCAGCTTGTCTAACTCCCGAGGAGTCCATGCATGGGTAGCCCACTGGACTGCATTTCAGTGACAAGAAAGTGCAAAGAATTTTTGGAGCACAGTATTGTGGAAAAAGGCTGTGGATAGATTAAATGTCCAATCTCACAGAACAGCTGTGCAGATATCAACATTAGCTAAATACTCTTTTTCATAACACTGAGAGATTGAGAAGATGAACAATGCCATCAGCCAAAAGGTCGCGCCCAGAAAAAAAATCACTGCACTGGAGGCTAGAAAATAGGCGTTTCCTTGTCCAAGAAAAACTCCAAGCTGAATGAATTTAGCCAAACACTTGATGTTTCGGGCTTCTGTTTTCTATCTATAAAATAAGAACTAAATGGGCTAACTCTGAATTCTGTAGTCCATGGTTATACTGAGTGCACTTTTGGAGGAATGAAAATTATGGAACCATACTTTTTTTTTAGGTTGTTGGCAAAATTAAGAGGAAGGTACAGAGATCTCTCAAACACTCCCTGCCATTCCTGTGTGTGAATGTGTGTGTGTGTGTGTGTGTGTGTGTACACATCTGTTACAATTGATAAACTTACACTGACACATCAAGATAAGCATTACATTCAGGGTCACTCTTAGTGTACATCTTACAGTGTAGGAAAAATGTATAATGATGTGTTAAGAGAATTTTCATTGAAACATATTTGAATTTATTTATCATGCTACTGTATATAATGATAAACTTTCTTCCTCGCTTGCTCTCTTCCAAAGACTTTTTCACTTCTTGATAAAGAGGAGCAAAGATCACAGATTGATGGAGTGTGCCTACTTTTTATAATAATGGGATGTATGTCTTTTTTCACCCAATTTCTGCAGGTAAGGAATTTGATTTTTCATTACATGATCTAGATTTTTTTTCCCTCCTCTTTATGTTAAAATATCACTGAAGATTCCCTCTTTATGTTTTAGGGATATACTTTTGCTAAATCTGGGGAACTCCTCACAAAAAGGCTTCGTAAAATTGGTTTCAAGGCAATGCTAGGACAAGATATTGGCTGGTTCGATGACCTCAGAAACAGCCCTGGGACTTTGGCCATAAGGCTTGCTACGGATGCCTCCCAAGTGCAAGGGGTAAGCTCTGGCCTGTCTTAGTCCATTTGGACTGCTACATCACAATACCTTAGCCTGAGTAATTCATAACGGAAATTGATTCCTCACGGTTCTTTAGGTTGGGAGTTCAAGAGGCACCTACAGATTCAGTGTCTGGAGAAGCCTCATTCTTTCAGATTCCAAGATGGCACCTTCTCCCCACATCTTTACCTAGCAGAAAGATCTAAGGAGTTAGGATTAATGGCATTGACTCTTATCGCGAAGGCAGAGTCTTTATAACTGAATCAACTCCCAAAGGGCCCCATCAGTTAATTTTACCACAGTGAGGATTAAGCTTCAATATGAACTTTGGAGGGA